TCTGCATCGACATTCTCCTGTTGCTTGTGACATCTGACTTTCATGGAACTATCTTAGGGTGCGTTGGGTGCATGACTGCTGTCGTGTCTACATTTCTTGGCCCCCTTTATCACCGTTCCTGGGGTGTGCATACAGTACCAGAGTCGTCGGGCAGAGCCCAGTGATGGACAGTCGGCAAAAGGTAAGTCGCAATCTTCAGAGTTGTGAGTTTCTCAGGTAAGTCCAGCTATGTTGTTTGGCCATTCTGGCAAAGATATCGATCAGGTAAGTCACTCTTCTCAAATATCTGCATTCTCCCCGGTGAGTATTTGCTGCTCTTCCCTGAATATCTGACTCCGTCTACCCAAACTCCCATATGTGTCCTTAGTGTTGGCATGGATGTACTGCAGGAGTGGCAAGGGTCAAAAGGACGTGGTCGTTGAGAGTACCAGAGGGTCTCGAGCTTGCATAGTTTATATTGATATCCCTACCTGTACTATGTACTCAGCATGCCGTAATGCGACCGTAACGCTGCAATCTGCAGCGTGTTTAGCTACACTCTTGTACTGCATCATAATTGATTCCCTATTGATATCCAGCTGGCGCAACCGAGGATCCGGCACCCGGAAACCGTGCAAATTCCCATGTTTTACAGATGTAAATCCCGCCCTTCTGACCCGCTGTCTAAGCGAGGTTTTTCTCCTGTCTGAGACCACGCCAGATTGACCGTGGAAAGCCGTCATCTTGACGCGCTTTTTGCTCGTCCATAAACCGGTGTTCGACCAGGGTTTTCTGCTCCATTTCCTTGGCCGGACCGCACTATTTCCTCGGTTTTCCCCTGTGGGTTTTGCACAGTCCCGGGCGCCATAGTGTCGAGCTTATCAGCGATACTCGAGAGGTCTCGCGATGCTCGAGAGCTTCAGTGAGGCCTCGCGAGATTTTCGTTTTTCCTGATGTGCGCGGGGGAGCGGGCGACAGGAGTTAGTATGCTCAAAGTGCGAGGAGACCCAGGCCTCGTGCCCTGGCGGTAGGTTCATCGGCGCCGCAGATGAAAGCGGCACCTCGCGCCGGGCCGGATGGAATGTGCTTCTGCGTTCCAGAGACACGATGCCATCTGAGAAGCGGCGTCTACCAAACGCCTGGTCCGCTCATTCCAACCTGCATCCACTTCCTATCGCAGCTTGCCGCATGAAGGCAGCTCAAGCGCTCATCTTTGAAGCACATCACATTAGACGTCGAGAACATGTCAAAGGCGTCGTTTAGGCTCGCACAAATGGCGAAACGTCCGACAGGATGGGCGTACGCTACTCGCCGTCCTTCCGCCCCTGTAGATCCTCCCACTTACTGAACAAATCGATGCCCCGTGACCACCGCTCCTCCCCATTCTGGGCGTACGCACCTCCAGAAGCCATGAACGCTTTCTGGCTCTGGTGGCCGCACTCCGCCCACCTGAACAGGCCGCCTGCTGAGTATTGAACGAATGCGTAACGGCGTTCGCCCTTATTGGCGAGGGGCGCATTCGAATGTCGCAGGATCGCGGAGGGGGACTAGGATGGTGGAGCCCGGTGGAAACTCTATGATCATGCGCAGGTCCTATAGAATGAGATGCCTACCCTCACGATAATTGTAGTCCCCGAAGGCTGTGGTAGCGCACTACTACCTGCGTCAGTGAGTAGGTAGCGGATTTGATCATACTGCTTACTATTGGCGAAGTTCGCAACGCGCTGCATCGTCTTCGACTGCAGGACGGCGTCAAGAATCGCGGCATTATAACCCGAATGGGCGAGGTTGTGACGACTACAAATATACAGACGTGACCTCCAGACCGATCGATTTTCAGGCTTGCATAGGCTACGAAACCTAAGATACGGGACCGCTGCCACCAAAGGCGGAGGTCATCGAGCCGCTGCCGGTGGAGGCCGAGCCCGCATGACCGGAAGATCTACGGGCTGCTCGGAGATCTCTCATAGTCGCCTGATCAGCTGCGAGGTCTCGCTGCAGGTCCGTCCACTGTCGTGGGTGAGGGCTTTGGCGCGAAGGAAGAGTTGGTATCCGCCCACCTGTTCGTTAAGTTCGTCGATATGGCGGAACATGAGCCTCATCTATTGTCGGCTTGTTACTATCTCATGAAGCGTTGACGAATAGACACTATACTCACAGCGCCGGGTATGTCGTTCGGAGGATAAGGGGCGCTTTCAGGATGAAAGTGGGTGAAGAGGTGCTTTATCTCGCGTACGACACGATGGATCAATTCGGTCTGTTCACGGAGCTGGTGAAGGTTAACCCGACAAGCCTTATGAATTCAAATGCATCCAACCCACCTCCTTTACAGTCAGACGCATCAACCGCTTGTCTTGAGCGTTGAAGAGTGTAGAGCCGCCCATCTTCCGATAGCTGTCAAAGCTACACAGCTGGAGCGAGAAAAGATAGTGCACGGGCGACTTACAAGCGTTTTCCTTCAGGTGTGAGCGTGATCTTGCAGATGGTCTCATTGTTGTGGAGAGATACGCGTCTCGCCCGCACCTGGTCGAACGGAACAAGTCAACAGGTTGCGGAGAAAGGGGGAAGGGGAAGTCAACATACCTCTGCGTGAACGGCCTCTCGAATGAAGTCTTTGGAACGAGGACTGTATCGAATCCTGACCTCAATCATGGCGGCATGGACTGTCGGGGCTGTGAGCAGGCATGTACATTGGGATGGAGTTCTAATGCACCTTTTTCTATCAAAACGTCCAGGAGAATATCATCCGACAATCTTCTTGCAACCTCAGAGAGAACCTCTTGAACACCTGTGGGACGCGTCGATACGGATCGGCTACAATAAGAGGGTCGGACATACGGTCGCGGCGGTAAGTCAAGGAGCGAGCAGCCATTGTGAGTCACTAGTAGAGAAGGGTGTACCATCAGCAAAAGTGCGAAACGCGCGGTCATGATCGCCTGGATTGGCTATAGCAGCCAAAATTGGCCCGAATCGTACTGGGACAGATTCGGAGCCAATTGGAAACAATTTGGCACAATCGACATTATTGATTGAGTCACCTGTCTATATATGGAATTACGGACAACTGATCCTGCGGTCGTGCGCCCGCGTCCTCCTCACCTTCGACACAACATCTTCTTCATGACAGACCGACGCACCTCTCCGATTTGGCCCCCGAAACGACGTCATTCAACGTCTATGACGCAACCCTTTCAAGGCGGCATATAATCTGTCTCTCGCGGTGGAACCGCGACAGCACTCCTTGACCGCCGACTCCCATCTTCCTCTGACTGACTCTGTTGCTTGACCTGTGCCTTCACTTGATGGACCAGCCTCCAAGCAGCGCTCTGCGGGCACAAGGTGAGTCAATGTATGCGCATATCGTGGTAAGTCCTCCTAGGTGAGTGTG